GGGAAACCTGACAGACAAATCATGAAAGCAACGCAGTCAATGGAACGGGCGGACAGACACAACATTATTCAGTCATGCATCCAAAAGAACTGAAATGTATGTACGTGGTTGACAAGTATTCGATATTGTTTCATGTCTGGTGAAATGGCTTGATTGACTTCGGTCAAGATTGAGACTGGGTCTTCCAAAAATTTTGGTGTGGGACTGGGTCGGACATGCGGGCCAGAAATTTCGATCGGACACGATGCGACACCAGGGTCCAGAATCTTCAAAACCATTCTTCCTCACCAACTCGACCCATCCAACTCCTCAACATATAATACTCGCATTCATTTCAGCACAGATTCACCGCACATCAAGAGTCGCTGACCATCGGATTATACAACGGTCCTCAAATATTTCTTTTGCACACGAGACGAAAACTGATATGCAATTGACGGAAAGATTGAAGTGGTAGCCTTCAGCGAGGTTGAAAGGAAAGATGATAGGGGACAGAAAGCAAGGCAGCAGGAACCGTGGGCCAAAAATGGGTCTGAGTTCAATGACAGCGAGCGAGGCGGATACCCAACTGAAGGAAGTGAGCAGAAAGGCTATCATTTTTTAGAGGTCGGCAGTAAGGTGGACAATACTCAGCACCATGATGCAAAAAATTCGCCATAGGAGCTAACAACGCGCGTCTGGGCCAGGAGTCCCGGTGGGCCAGCGAGCGACTTTGCGCAGTTTGATTCGACTGTGGTGTCGAGTGTGTCAGAAGCAAGATGGCAAGTGTTTGATCAGGTAGGTGTTGAGCAAGCGAGTGAGCTCTCAAAAGTGTGTGATCCAAAAAAATTGGAGATGTCAACGAGCGAGATGCCAAACCTTATGTGATCCAAATTTTTGGAGCTGTCAAAATCGGTGATGCAGGTCGGGTCAGCGAGCAAGCGTCAATTTGTGTGTGATCCAAAATTTCGAGGTCGCGAAAAACCTGATCCAGGTCAACGAGGTCAAAATGCTAGCGAGCGAGCTTGGCAAAAATGTGTGATCCAAAAATTGTGGGGTCCGACATCCATGATCCAGGTCGAAGCGAGCTCGCAAAAATGTGGGATCCAAATTTTTCGAGCCCCAAAAGCGCTGATGCCAGCGAGTGAGGTGTGAAATTTTCCTGATCCAAGCTGTCAGCCAAGCCCTCTGATTCAGGTTGAGGAGCGAGCTCGCAGAAATCCTTGATCCGATGTCGGATGCCAGCGAGTGAGGTCTGAAATTCTCCTGATCCGAGCTGGCTAGCCGTGATCGAGGTGAGCGAGTTGTGGAAATGCTGTGATCCGGAGCTGGCGAGCACTCACTTCCCAGCGAGGGTCAGAGAATTTTGAGATGCCGAGGTCCAAATCACACTGATCCAGCAAGCGAGCTGCAAGTTTCCTGTGGTGCGCAAGCTGCCAAATCCTTGATCCCAGCGACCGCGCATCCATTCTGTGGGCTGCCATCCTCAAATTCTGACGGTTTTGACCAAGAAACGTCAAATGGAACAGAGGGAGTGCGCGTCAACATCCAGGAGTTTCCGCACGATGTTGGAAATTCCTGATCGCGCATTCGTGAGATGCCAGCTCGCCAGCTGCCTTATCCAAGATCCGCCAAATTCGGAAGCGAGCTCCGTGCTGGCTGCTGTGATTCAAAATTTGTGAGATTGGGATGCCAGCCTGCTGCCAGCTCCTGCGATCAAGGATTTCGCAACTTGGTCGAGAGTGTGTGTCGAATCGTGTCCACTTGGAGTTTGGATACCACAACTTGAATGCCAGCACATGCACACACAAATGCGGACACCCAAAACTAGTTGACAAGCATAATCACTGCCGTCTGCCTATGACATTCTGGCTTTCTTCTTTACTTCTGCGGTTTTTTGAGGAGGTGCCGCGGGCACCTCCCACCACCCCAAAAATTATACGGTCACGACTCTTTGCGCAAGAGTGTGTAGTCGCATCGCCCGACATGTGTGCAAGGTCAGGCAATGCCGACTAAGTCCGGTACGCATGAGGACCAGAACTCCCGCCAGGTAAGTATATATAGTGTGTTTGGTATACTACGCGCACTGAAGGCGCGAGCGGCGCCCGAAAGCTGCCACTGGATGATGGTGAGCAAGACGGGAAGCGGTTGGGGCGTCCTTTTATAAAGTTCCGGGGGTGCTACGAAGATGGTGGTCGGCTGCGCAGTCAGGTTCAGACTGCGCATTTTTTGATATTGTGCTGCGCACAGAGAGCGCAGCAATTTGGTTGTATCACCTTCCCGTCAGCATCACCAGCCAGTTGTTGGGCATTGCAAGTAGTGGCCACTAACCATGTCCAAGCAGGGAAGATGAGGTGTATGGTGCGTTGCACTTAATACGAATCGCATCCGATATGATTCATCCAATAATTGAACGCTTTCAAATGGTACTAATGGTTGATGTGGTTTTTTTGGGGTTGGCGGGGAAGTCTTGCGTGCACATAGGACCCTGATACGTGAGTCCAGGTCTCTCTGAGTCTCTGGCTACCCTGGCCGGGCCTTGAGCCGCCTGAAATGACAGCTCCGTGCCTGCTCGCTGCCATCTTCCACCTTCGGTCCACCAGATTTGACACAAACCATTGCACAGAACAAAGCTGCCCCATATCAAACCCTTAAATAAACCGTGGCATCTACCGCATCGTTTCAGTCCGCCATGACTCGCATAGTCGTCAAGACAGGAAAAAACACCACTTCGCGTCAATGGCCAATTCCACGCCCTCTCGAGCCCTTCCCCGCAGAATTTCCGCTCGAGCTTGTCCGACTAATTGCTAGACTATCGGGAGAAGTGACCTGCCGATTCTTACGCAGCATGGACAAAGCCAGTCGGAATTCCATCACCAAGAGCGACCTCGCTTGGGCCGAAGCAGGGAGTTGGTACACCCGGCATGGGCCCAAGCACTGCTGGGAGCGTGCCGAAAAGCGGTGTTTGGAGGGGCACCAGGCCGAACATATCCGGATTCTCGAAGCAATTGTGTCGGAAGTAGAGAAGGACACTTTGGAAAGGACGCTCAACACCGCCGTCGTCAGAAACAACGTGGGGCTGGCTACAGTCGTGGCTGGAGGGAAGGTGGACATTGACTTGGAGGGACCGCTCGTGACGGCAGTGAAGAAGCGCCGTGCTGAACTGGTGAACCTAATCCCTACCGCCCGACCAACCGTGCACGCTTTGAATTCAGCGTTCATCACCGGCTCAATGTACGGCTGCACAGAATGCGTCAAAGCACTCCTGGCGTCGCACCCCTGAACTCAAAACATCAAAAACGGAGCCCTCGTCCTCGCTGCCAGTCACGGACATCCAAATGTGGTGCACCTCTTGCTGGGAGCAAATGCGGACGTAACATACAACGACAACGAGGCACTACGTAAAGCGGTCAGTGAGGGCAAGTCAGGCGGAACCGTGAAAGCATTGCTGGACGCGGGAGCTGACGCGCGATGGTCCAATGACGAACTCCTCTGCATTGCAGCCGAGAACAATAGCGTTAAAATGGCCAAGCTTCTCATGGAGGCGGGAGCAAGGGTGGAAGAAGATCAACACAATGCACTGTGCATGGCAACACTGGACGGCAACACCACCTTCGTGAACACACTCCTCAAATACAACCCACCAATCAAAGCCCGCAACGCCGCGCTCGTCATTGCCGCAACCGAAGGTTACCTTACCATAGTGAAAGCCCTGTCGAAAGTCGCGGACGTCCACTACCACAATGATGAGGCTTTGGTGGAAGCTGCTTCGCATGGGCATCTCGAATGTACGAAGGTGCTTCTTTGGGCGGGGGTGGAGGAGTATAGGGCTTCGTTGGTGGGGAAAAGCGTTCCGAGTGGAGTGAGCGGCCATGTGTCGGCGGCGATGTGGTTGGCGAAGGAGGGTGGGCATGAGGAGGTTGTGAGGTTTTTGTTGGGGTTCTTTGCGAAGAATGGGGTTAGTTACAAGCGTGTGGAGGAGTATAAGGAGTTTTACGAGTAGTTGGGTTGGTCAGTAGTTGGAGATAGCAGAAGCAGGCAGTTTGTGTGGTTTCGAATACAACGGCGTACATCGAAGTTTGGCGGAAGCAGCATTCAAGATGCTGTTGAAAGAATATGGTTGTCGAAGTTGATCAGACAAATGTCTAGAACCTTCAAAGTCCCTGATATGCTCCCGATGCTGTTTGGGAATCCTGCAAAGGCGGTATGCGCTGATGTTCCAAAAATCCCATGGACTTTTTTCGCGGGTTTCTTCGGCTGCAAGGCCCTAAACATCCGCTGATACGCTGGTCGAATGGGCGATCTGCTGTCGTCCTTTCAATCTCGAGTTTGTGATATGTGCATTCGTCTCGTGAGTGATACGCGTTGTCCGTCGCGTTGTAGTGAGATTTTTGACTTCCTGAGAAAGTTTTCCTTTCGACGCTTCGGTAAAAAATTGTACAGCACAAACCCGTCATGACACCTGCCGACATCTAAACTCTGATTGAACGGTATGCTGTGTAAGGTCCTCAAGCTGGGCAGACTCGTCATTGATGATGGAAATGTCAAAAAAAAAAAAGGTCGGAGGCAGACACAAAGATCAAACTGATGGCGACCCTAGGGTAGTCGGTGCCCAGCATGGAGGTGTTGTTTACATCATACCAACTACCACATTCATCGCACATGCAAACATTGCAACTGTCATTAGCAGATGATGCGAAACCAGGTTTTGCAAAATTGGTGAGTCGGGTTTGCAACTTTCAGATCCTTCATCTATGAGGCCAATCAAAATACCAAACACAACACACTTCCACTATAATGTAGCCGCCTACCGTTGCGCTCCTCAACCACTCTGATACAAAGCAACAAGACACATCCCACGGCTTTTTTAAATAGTTTCTGGTGGTTCACTGGGACTTATCTCGTTGCAATAGGTACCTCTAAAAATTTTTAGTATGCCTCTCTTTAAATAAGGGAAGTAAGTGCAGGTTCCTGCATTTGCGTATCTTGATGAGTGCAAAATTTCACAGAATTCCTATCAAGCATGGTTGGTCCAGTGGTAGAATTGCCGCCTGCCAATTGCTCAATAGCAGTCCGCGGCAGACCCGGGTTCGATTCCCGGACCATGCACTTGCCATGGAGTGAAGGCCTTGTTTTGTTGCGTCTTTTTAAAGTTTGCTTTTGCGTCAACGTCTCCTTGTTTGCTCTTTTTCCTCTGAAGCTTTCCCCTCAACTCCCTATCTTTCTTGATGTGGTGACCAAGTGGGATTTTTCACGTACGAACGATTTCCGAACTGCAATACATGCACTCATGGCGAGCAGACAGCAGGTTGGCCCGCAAATATCAGCATGTCAAGTATGCCAAGGTTCGATTCCCGGGTCATGCACTTGGTACTCCTTGAATTCGTTTCTGATCCATTTCGCCATCGATTTTCATGAACTTCTTATCCTTGCGCACCAGGTCCCGCAATTGTTGCTGCTCATTCCCATGTTGATCTCTACTTACGAACCATTCCGGGATAACTATTTGCGAATACACTCCTGGCCGAACGACACCGGATGTAAGGATGTTTCGTTACCCAAATGCTAGGACAGTGCCAAACTCGACTTACTGGGGACACTTTCCCATTCCTCAAAAATACCCACACGCCAAATGCCGTTCAAACTTTTGGTTTGGCTGCACAGACGCGTTCGCTGCACCTCGTTACAAGGGTCCTTGACAGGCAGTGGCCGAATGCCCACCAGTTTGGCTGCTGGCGTGCGTCGATTCAATTTACTATCAGCGCATGCAACTGAAGTCATACAATATGCATCATATTTTTTTGTTTGCTCTGGCCTATCGAATATGTGTTCGACCAAAAAAAGATTCGCACATGGATCTACGGCTAGTCTCGATGACTGGGATGCAGTTTCTTGAGCCCCCTGAACTTGTGAACTCTGTATATGATCAAATAGTCGCGAAATTATCACAGAAATTGCAAGGTATTGTGTTCAATAAAGAATGTTTTGTCTGCTTTAGCTTGCTTTGCCAGATGAACAACAGTAACAACACCAACAGCCTGTGATGGCCGAGCACCGCATGGTTCCCTTTGCAATCCCCCTCTTTTCGCCCAACTTTTTCTTTTTGATATTCAACTTGAGTACGGTGGTCCGTTGGTTGCCACTATGGATGCAAAGCCAAAACAGATATCTCGCATAATGCTTTGAAGCGTGATTCCTTGCCGAAAGTACGCAATCATGTTGTGCAGAGTGCAGGATTGTAAACCAGCATGAGGCACGCGTTGTAGTCGAAAAATGATGTTTCACACCCCAACGTACGATGCACCGTGGTGGGGAGAACCTCCTGATGGGTTTCATCAAGTAAAATTGTCTTCAATGCTTTCAGCCTTTTCATTTATGGATGAAGGTATCGAATACCTCTGTAAAGGTGCGTAAAGGTCTCCGACTTCTTCGTTATAGGTCTCCACATGGGTCTGCACAATGGAAAAAGAAGTCGAAGCCGTGAATTACGCGTGTGACCGAGGGTTGAACTTTACTTGTGCTCTTGTGGTCCTTGGAGGTGAGACCACCTAACATTCATACCTGGTGAATCGGGAGAGATTGACATACGGAATATGCAAAAATTGGGGAATACTGCTTTTGCATAACAACCATCATGCACGATCATGCGGTCAAATGGTACGTAAGGCAGATGCCCTTCAGCAATGCAACTGCCGCAGGGGTCGTATATTAAAACTTGTTAGAGGAAGTCCTTTATGCTACCCAAGAAGTAGCCATCTGGTACGAGGCCGTGCATGCAAAACTTCACGATCCAAAAATGAAAATGAATACGGAAGGCCAATAACCCCTTGACGGATGGCTCGCCAAACGATGAATGGCCGTACTAATGAGCCCCAATCGAGGAGGCGCTCAGCTTACAGGACCATTCAATCAAATTGAAACTCAGCAATCTCGCTTTGCGGGACTTTGTGAAAACACATCGGCGAAGACAACACTCGGTTCGTCAAGTCCAATTCGTATGCAAGTCGAGCTTCGCAATTGGCTTGCAACTTCTGCAATGTCTAGCAGTCAAAATAGGACGCTTCCTGCCAATAGCCTTGTTGAGGGCGGCATCGAAGGATTGACCTTTACGCTTCCCGACAAGGCTCACGCATTCCAACTACATTCGTTGTGCTTATCAAACTTACATTGTAATAACGTAGTATTCTTCATCGTAGCAACTTTATATTGTCTGAATGGTTCACAAGTTGCGAAAGGTGCCGACCCGTGAATTGAATGAGGGGAGAAAAAGGGATATTTTTTTGGCATTTTCGAGTTGTTACATTCATTAGTCGATTACTGCGCAGTGTGGAATATGCACTGGTCTCTGGAATTCATGGGAGTTCAAGAGCACAGGATGCCATGTATTGCAGCTCCAAAGAGCCGAGCTTTCAAGATTTTCTTTCATTCAACAGAATTTGATCAACAAAGACTGGAAGACAATGTACATATCACCCTCGAATCGATCCCTCTGGTCTCTTCATCTACCAGAACCCCAACCCCCTCTTCTTACGTGCAGCAACCGTAACATTAGCGGGAGGACTGGTCTTCGTCGTAGTCGCCGTACCCTGAAGACACTGCGCATAGTACGGATTCAACGTAGAACACGCATCGCCATTCCCGCATTGCGTTGGGCCAGTGTACCCGTTCCCTCCACACTGCCCGTACCGCGTTTGTGTCTTTGTCGGCGTCGTCGTTGTGGTGGTGGTAGTGGTGCTTGTTGTGGTGGACATGATTGAGGGTGTAGTGGACGTGAAAGGGTAATTGGGACAGTCCGTAGGTCTAACGCAATCGCCATTGGCATTTTGGTCCAAATGAATGAATCCATAAGCGCAAACGCAGTACTTGTAGGGTTGAGATCCGTCGCATGAGCCGCCTAAATCAGGAGCGTTGGGGTTGTTGCAATTTTTGTAGGCTGTTGGGGGGCATGGCCAGGGCACTTTGTTTGCGGGACATTGAGTCGGGGTGGAGCTTGCAGTGGTTGTTGTTGTTGTTGTGGTGGTAGTAGTGGTGGCAGTGGTGGTGGTACTGAACGGATTGTTTGGACAAGTCTCAGGCTTGATGCATCCGCCTCCATAATTAGACGAGAATACATATCCGGAAGCACAAACACAATACCGGGGCGTTTCCGTCGAGTTGCAAGGTCTCTCATAAGGGGGATTGAGCATGTCGCAGGTTTTGACCTCGCCATAACGTGCTGGACATGCGGAGAGTACTTGGTTTGATGGACAGGTAAAGGGGTAATTTGGACATTCTTCTATTTTCACGCACTGGGTGCGAGAGTTATCGAGATATATGTACCCGGGAGCACACGAACAGTATGTCAATCCTTGTGGACAGGCGCCGCCACTTGCGAGGAGCGGGGGCGAAGTACCTGGGTTTGTACAGCTGCGGGTATCAGAACAAGCGCTCGGCACTTGGTTTGCGAAGCAGCTGGGGGTAGGAGACGTCTTGCTGGTTAAGCTCGTGGTGGTCGTGATAATAGTGGAGGACGGTGTAGTGGTGGTGGAGGAACGTATGGGACAGTTGGCGGGAAGGACGCATTGAGTGTAGCTTGAGTCTAAATATACCATGTTTGGAGCGCAGAAGCAACCGGAACGTCCATTGGTACACCCTCCGCTAGTTGGAGGGTACGTGTTGGTGGGTGCTGGGGCATCCTTGGTGTCGCATGTGAGTGGCGGGTAGGCAGAGCAGGAGTAATACCACAATCCACTGGGACATGATGGTGCGTTCGGGTCTTGGTACTCTGACAGAGGGGATGGAGACGAAGACGGGGAGGGAGATGGGCTTGCTTTTGTGGTGGTGGTGGTAGCGGTTACACTCGAGCTAGGTGCTGGACCGCGGAGACATTGAGCGTAGTATGGGTTCGTGGTGGAGCAATAGGCACCAGAGACACAAAAAGTAGGACCCGTCCAACCAATGCCGCCGCATTGACCATATAATGGTGCACCTTCAGAGAATGGATGGTCAAACATTCTTTCAGCTGTTTGGGATTGCCATTGCAGACCACACCTTCATTCGCCTGGGCTACGGTCACGCAAAGCCCTAAGAGTGCAACAACGGAAGTCGCTGTAGATGCAAACATCTTAGCTACAATCGAACTTGGGAAGATTGATGCTGTCGGAGATGTGACCTCAGGCTCTGGGTGCCATGGAAGACGTCCAACACTTTATAGAATCAGTGATCGAAGAGCACTATGACGATTGAGTCATGCCCTTCATGCGCTCTTCTCACGCGTGCCGCGTTGTGGCAACGACTGGCTAGTGCAAGGCTTCAAGCCCGTGTGGGGAAAGATGATGAGAAAGCAAAGAAGCTGTGGGTGACTTCTCGCTCTCATCAATGGCTCATACCCACCTTCTCTTTTTGCAAAGCTCATCCCCACCTCCTACTTCGCCGAAACTCGCCAAACCTCGTTGCGTTTACAATCAGGATAACATTCCTACATATGGCGGAGGGTCCGGAGTTCCAAGAAGAAGTGCAAAGGTTTGTGATCGCTCCGCGTGCTTTTCGGTGATGGCTTGCGGGCTTTATTCAGCACGTGGAGTCGTTGAGTGACGGGACACAAGCTGTGCCCAGGTGAACGTTTTTCACCTCAGTCAATCTATCAGAATTTCCATCAGGTGGACTGATCTGGCCAGGGTGGGTGCGGAATGTCCGGAATAAACGCCATCACGCATTGCAACCTAGTGATGTTGTGCTGCAGTTGCCGGTAGCAAATTGCCTGGGAAGGTGGGCACTGAAGTGACGGGAAATTTCCATCCGTTTGGGATTCGCATCGCTTCAATGTTTGTCTGGATTGAGCTGCGAGCATTGGACGGATGCTCGCGCTACTCCCCATGGCGGGGTCCTTGACTGGAGTGGCCAATTGTCCACCAGTCTTGTGTATGGCGTGCATTAAATTGAATTATAAATGTCCACTAACAGCACACGTGAGTGAGGTCATAGCAAACGACTCTGTGACGAACTTTTTAACTCTGTATGTCGTTCATTGCAAAGACAAAAAGGTATCCCAGAGTGCATAGCGCAGATGCCGACCTCCAGGCGCTTGCACTTCTAAACCTTCAAAACATCAACATCGGCGCACGGAGTTT